CCCCCCCCCCCCCCCCCCCCCCCCCGCATTTGCCTGCACCAGAACACGTGGCACATCAGTGCCTGCGTTTCGGTCCACTGCGATTGGAATAAATGCTGCAAGCACAATTTTTCCCGATCGCACTGGACCGGAACGTAGGGATTGTTGTGCCCTTGTTCAGGCGCGGGCGATCGCACTGCGGGCGGGGCGGCCTAGCTGCGGTGCCATTGACTTTAATGCAACGCCACGCCCCAGAACGCAGATGGGAGTTTATTATGTGATACAGTGCGTTCCAGCGGCTAACCGCATATAACTGTATATGGTGTGAACAAGCCCTAAAGAGAGAAGCTGATTAGTTGCCATGGACAACTGCTCCAGATTTTGTCTGCTCCAGTTTTGATAAATACCCTTCACACAGTTACACACAATGATCTTTAACCATTCCAAAAATGTATGATCAGGCTGCATACAAAATTAAGTGGCGCAAAGGCAGTATGGGCCCAAATTTGTTTCCTGCAAGTTCAAGTTGTAGGAGCACATTGACATCACAAATGGATACAATACTTATATTAAGATCTACTATAACGCAAGTTATCCCACATTATCAATGGCAAGTTTCTCTAAAGACCTCATGGTTTAGAGTATGCACAATGCACTGTATTATATGTTGGAAACATTCACAGGGAAAGGTCCACAAAATGGGAATCACTGCAGTGAGGAAGTCTGTAAATTGAACTTGCCTCCATGTCCCCAATTCAATATTTAAATGTTCCAGCTGCAGTGGATTTTATGACTTATAGCCAAGCTTCAGTCTCTTTATGTATAACATTTTTACCCACTTCATGCAATAGGGGTAATATCTATTCTAGAGATGGACAGATGGGAAAAGCTACAGCTTTGTGATAGTCAGTACAACTGGTCAGAGGGTATGAGGACAGAGCACAAAAAGCGGAGTGTAATTTACAGTCTATATCTGCTGTCCCACAGATTCACCTTTCATAGCTTATCTTAGACTTTCCTAAGTATGACTTAGAATCATAACCTTATTGTACAAAAATGTTTTACCTTGAAGATGACAAGGTACATCATAGTCAATCTCATCATGCCTAGAAGGACTGAGAAATAATGTTCCATCCACCAGTGGGAACTGCTCAAATACAGGCAGTACTCTGTGACACAAAGCACAGTTGACTACGTTTCTATGACTGGCACTGAGGGCGGACAAAATAAATTTCCGTAGATCCTCCCCCTGCCCGACCTGTGCATCATCCTCCATACGCACATGGAAAGTGTTCAATTTATGCCGTGGTATATGAGTTAATAATTCAGAAAGGTCAAGTCTCCGGAGAAACTGCACTGGTGCATCAGATCGTCCAGACCTGTGAGCTTGAAGTACAGGAACACTGTAGTCAAAGTGGGTGCTCCTGAGCACTCCTCCAGAGGCTATATTTTTCTTATGAGGCTCCAAGTGAATTGCATTCTTTAAAAATTCTCCTAAATATCTAGAACTGCGGGGAACATTAAAGTGAGAAGGAGAGAGGATGGGGTATCCAGCAGGAGGAGACTGGCCAGGAGAAACACATGGAGAACGCAGACCATGTGTTCCTCCGCCGCTACCCTTTTCTTGAGAGTTCTGTCTGTCCACTGAATGTCTACGAGGAGGGTCAAAGGTCAATCCTTTCTGGAGTTTTGTTGGAGCACGGCACTTCTTTGAATCATCAGAAGACTCTGATACAGATCGTCCTGTTGGCTTTTCAGAGCCAGATTTTTTCTTCTTCTCATCATGCATTCGTTTTACCTGATACCAATCTGTGTCCTTCTTTAAATGTCCCTGACCACAACGGCATGAGCAAAACCGGAAAGCCAAGTCATATCCCTTCTTAGTCCACATGTTCTGGCGGCACTGCTTTTCATTCCAGCTTCGTGCTCTACCTATACAGTTGAACTGGACAAGAATGCTGCTCTCCCATTCATAAAAGCACTGCAGATGCATCCAAGTGCTGTTTGGACAATGTTCATTGTTACAAAGGACTTTCTGGTAGTCGTCCTTCTCCAGATCAATAGGTCTGGCTATACTACAAATCAATGGTGTAGCACAAGCAGCTTCTGCAAAAGAGGAAAACACAAGTATTACATATTAGAGAATGCAAAAGATGTGTTTGGTTTGTGTCAGGAAAAACATTATTAGCCGTTTCCAAGGAATTCAGTACAAATATGCCAACAAGCTGAAATTCAGTATTGATCTGTACTTGCCCGCAGGATCATTATTGACTTTCTAAGGTCTATTTGAAGACACTCGGTTTTTTACTAAAATGTTATCAAGCAAAGGACCTACCTGTAGAAAAGAAGCTAAAAACTTACCTCTCCTGCTTCCCACACCCTTTAATGCTATTCTATTGAATAGAGCTGGTCCCCTGTATCGAACTCTGTGGTTTCCTGTCTTCCATAACCTCACATCATAGCAGGATACAATAATGAAGTAAGGGCAGAGGGAGGGCCCTGTGAAACTGTAGGGGACACAGAAGATTGACACTCCTGAAGTGTCTGTTTTTCCGACGGACTACAGGAGAGCAGTTCTCTGCAATGGAGAAGCATTAAGCAGTGTGGGCAGCAGACGTATTCAGTCTCTTCCATTCAAAGAATGGATATACTTGAAAGGAGGAGGAGCAGTTGAATGACAGAATCTCCACTGCCCATTCCCAGAACTCATTGCATTGTGAGATAGTAGTAATACGAACTCTGTGAATGGTGGTGAAAGCAGAGGGGGATAGGCCAGCAACACAACTTTTCAGACTAGCAGCTCACAGAGTAGACCCACTACACATTCTCACAGCGCCAGAAAACAGTCACTAAGTGTAATATCCAGCAGCTGTGAAGTGGCAGATGCAGCTAAAAGGTGCCCATACACCTGCCGATTATCGTACCATAATCGCGTGAAATCCCGCGATCGTACGATAATCGTCAGGTGTATGGAAGGCGTGCGACCGTTTCTACTGTACGGTCGGTCGCATGTCTTTTGTCTTACGAGCAGGCTCGAAAACCCGCTGAGAATTGTACGATTGTCGGTAGGTTTGTGGCCTGCTCGTAAGACAAATGCTGCACGGGCCGGTGTGTGCAAACGCACACTGCCTGTTCAGCATTGCAGTCATTGGAAGCCCGCCCCTCAGCAGGGCATGCTTGCGATGATCTCAAGTACAATCTGCCTGTCCAAGATGGGCAGATCATACGTTTTTTTAAAATTACGTTACAACCATCTCAAGACAACCTCTGCCGCTCGGCCACGCACACGGGTGCTCAGCTTCTCCTCTGAATCTCTGCTGCTCTCCCTGGCATAGGCAGTGGGGGATCCAAGGAGAAGTGAGGAAAGCACTTCAGCCGCGGGGGGGGGGGGGGGGGTGGG